ATGGATACATGGCCGTCTCTGCTCCTTTTACAAAGAGCTCGTTGCAGACTTCTAATTTTCATGATTTTTTTTAAACTGTCAATTTCACAACCTCTCTTTACAGAATGGAAGACGCGCATTTGTGCACCGACATTAGGTCCTGCCCTTTGGCCACGACCATTTTGCATCCTTATGCTGAATTTTAATCTTTTTTCAGAATTTTCACATTTTTGGGCTGCTGCAGGAAGCCCCGCCCATTTTTAAAAAATGATGCGGATGGACAATTCAGAGCCAGTTTTGAAAAAGGATGCGGACAGGCAGTTTAGAGCCTGTTTTTAGTATCTTGCTCGTCAGTCAGGACAAACTGCCTGTTCGTTCCGTTCTGTTGTATTAGGTTGGCGGGAAAGTTCTGTCACATTTTTTCAAACTAGGCTTTCTTTTTATAGAGAGGCGTACAAGATCAAAATTATACAGCAATGTTATTGCGAAGTTCTTGCCAAATGAGCACCTCATAGATGCCATCGCCTCACAATGCAGCCGGCGCGACGCAAAGTTGGACATCATCTCAACTTTGACTTGGGCTCAAGTCGTGGAGGTTTTCTCGGCCATATAACGGTTGAATACGGGAGGCAACTAGCAGTCAGAAAGAGCAATGTCTGGACTACACCAGTGCAAGGGGAGAGCCATCCAGCTCTATTGCATGAGGTTCGGCTCGACCTTTTTGGACGAAGTGGGCCGCACTAACTGTTGAAGGTGGCCTGCGCGGTAAAATTTTTTCCTGGTCGACGATTCACTTGATCACGTAGCTGCTTTGCGCACGGATTGACCGAGGAAGCAGCTTCTTCATCCAGCAGTTTCACGACCCGCAGCTCCCTCAAGCTGAGTTCACAGGTACACCCAAACCTCACTTCGTCATCAAATTGTAGGTCCCGGATTTGGAGCATTAGCATCGGAAGGTTGTCCCACAATTGAGGGCATCGTCCGTATTCAGCTCCATTATTTGGCAGCGGTAGCTGTCATGCTGGCGTCAGGGCGGTAGAAGAGTTTGAGGAAGCGCTTGGGCCGTAGGTAACGGATAGTATTCTTATCCATATTGCAAAAGAAGAAGAAGCGGGAGTCAACCGAATGGTACTAGTAGAAGGACCAGTCCTTGGTATAACTATTGACATTACCGGTCCCTTTGCAGGTGAAGGGCAAGTATTTCGAGTTCAAAAAGTATGACAGAACTTTTCCGCCAACCTATGTAGTAAATTGTGTTAACATTTTGAAGACACTTTCCTCGGCCAAATGGTCCGCTAAATTCCTCCAAGCATTTGGCATTGGGGTTGTCCGCACTGGCATAACGTGTACAACTATCGTCTCTCAAAAAAGCGAGATAGCGGCCGCAGACGCGTGACTCTTGCGCACTTTGGTCTTTTCAGTCTACAGGACCACGTCTTACGCGGTGAATTAGGTGTATGCATTTCGTTGCCTGCAGCATCGTAGGACAACTTGATATGCTCGTCCGAAGAAATCTTAGCTTGCCGACTGTTTTGCGAACTCACGAGTTGTTCCGTTTTCTCTGGATACCTTTTTGAAAACAGTAATTCGAAAACAATAATTCACTAGCAATCTACTTCGCAAGGAAAGATGCCTACGCGCCGCCTAAATTCAGCAGTAATGCGATTGTGTCGGTGCAAAACTCGTAGTACACTGCTTACCGTGGTCCTAAACATGCACAGAGTTTGCGAGTTAGTTCCTGTGCCAGTGTTTTTGTTTCTCGTTTTTTCAGTATTGGATGGCATTTAGTGAAGATGCAAAAATGACTGTGAGCCAAGGCTTGCGCAGAGGCCGCAGGGTGTTTGGTCCCCCGCTCGCACGGTTGAGCGTCTCTGCGTCTCCACTCTCCACTTTGTTCGTGCAGTTCTGAAGGGTAAAGGCGGCGCCGATCACTTATAATTAGCTGAACACTTCATCTGGAAGGTAGTGTGAACTTTAACGAACAACCCTTTATAAGTCTCACATCAGAAAGTGGCAAGGTAGCGGTGATAAGACGCAAGGTTGTGACTCTGCTAAGTTGATGGATGACTTATTTACGCTCTCCTTCGTTTGCATGCTATCTCGCTGTTTTCTCTGGCCTCTCTCTCCTGATATCCGCGTTAATTATTTATCTTTTGTCTGGCACGAGTAGGGCCTTATTTGAAGCCTTCTAGACGCTTTCATTTCCTTTTTTTTTTCTTACGAGAAAGAGTTAGCACACACAATGCTGTTTCTCAATCACGCTTCCTACTTTTTTTACGCTGGCTCATCGGAAAGTCTGCCTTTAACCAAGCCTCCTTTGGAACAGGATCTTTTTTTTTCCGACGGGATTCTATGTCTCTCCTACCATGGTATGCCTAAACCCAGATAGTTTTTGATATACTCACATACTGGTATGTCAGTTAGTG